CGCCCCTCCCATCCCATCCATCCCATCGCCCGCACCCCGCCGCCCGGACAAGGTCATGCCGTTAGTCCTAGCCCATCTGCCCCACGGTCGCGCCCTGCCCCAGGCTGCGTCGCGCCGCTATCATGTCAAGGGCGACACTAACGTGGCCATCAGACTCCGGAAGGGAATCACTGTCAACAACCACACGGGCGCCTTCGAAGACGACGACGACGACTTCACCGACGACGACTCGGCCGGCATCCAGGTAGTCTCGGCCAGCGAGGACGAGTACAGCACCTCGGACGCGACCGACGAAGACGCCGAGGAGGAGCAGAGCGACGACGACATCCCAGAGGACGACACAGACGACAACGAAGAGGACGAGGGCTCGTGGGACTACATCGACGAGATCAACCCTTCCGACTCTGCCTCGCGCCCTCGCCTTGTCCACCGTCAGCCTGCGCCGCACCACGCGATCCCCCCACCTGCTGTAGCCCCCCCGCGAGCACCTCGACCCAAGCCCTCGCACCGCGACCGAGCCTCTTCGCGCCACGCAGCCCCCGTACCAGACCCTCCCTCGCGCCTCCCGAGCCACAGTCGCAGCCGCAGCCGCAGCAAGCTGGAGCGCGCACGCAGGCCGCGGCGGCCAAGGCCCCAATCCGTCCACCACCAGGACCCTCTCGACGGCGAGGATGACGACGACGACTACCCATACGCCCCGTCGGCCCGCCCTGGCCACCCTCCCGGCCATCCCAGTGCTGGCTGGGGCCACATTCCCCAGCATGCCCCCAACGGCTACGCCCCAAGCTTGATGTCGGATCCACGCTTCCCATATGCCTTCCCCGGCGGCGGCACCCAGTCGCCTGCGGGCCAGCTGGTTCCGTTTGGCCACGACACACACGCCGCCTATGCTCAGAATCCCTTTGCGCCCAATGGACAGAATCCCTTTACCCAGGGCCCCCCTTCGGCTGCAGATCCGCGAGCCGGCTACTTTCCCGAATACCAGGACTCGCGCCATCAGGACTCGCGTCCGCCACGCAGAGGCCATCGCAACTCCATGCCGCCAGCGCCCCCGGGGGACATGATGCCTTATTCGCCAATGGGCTACTACCCACCATACGGCGCCCCACCGTATGGCATGCCGCCTCACATGTATCCGCCTTATGGACATGCACAGCATCCCTCCCCTCCGCCGCAGCACCCTCCCTCGAAGCGCCCTACCCCGAAGCCCCAGCCCGAAGAAGAACACCATCCGCCCGCCGCGCCTGCTCCACCCCCACCACCCCCACAACCCCAGCCCCCTCAAACTCCGGCTATGCAGATGCAGCTCCAGCCAATGCAGCAGCCAATGCAACAGCCAATGCAGCAACAACAGATGCAGCAGCAACTCATGCAGCAGCCCATGCACCAGCAGCTCATGCAACAGATGCACCCCATGGCCATGATGCCTCCGCCACCGCCTCAACAATCTCCGCAACCCGACCCAAAAGAAGAGGGCATGCTCTCCAAGCTTGAGAAGCTCTTGCTAGGCAAAGAGGAGGAAGAGAGAAAGGCAGCCGAGAAGGCGAGAAGAGACGCCGAGCTGGCCAAGTTTGATCGCCTTGAGAACCTGCTCATCTCTCAGCAAGAAGCCAAAATAGAGAAGGAGAAGGCAAAGAAAGAGGCGGCTGAGAAGGCTGCACAGGAAGCTGCCGAGGCAAAGAAGAGGGGCGACGAGGATAAGCTCGCCAAGCTCGAGAGCCTTATCCTTGCCCAGAAAGACGAGCAACTCAAGCGTGAGGCGGCCGCGGACGCGGCTCGTGCAGCCGAAAAGGCAGCCGCAGATGCAGAGGCCACCAAGATTGCCGAGGAGAAGAAAGCCGCTGCGGAAAAGGCAAAGTCACTGCTCGAAGCAGCGCAAAAGGCACGCGAGGAGGCCGAGAAGAAGGCGGCCGCGGAAGCCGAAGAGACCAAGAAGGCCCATGAGAAGGCTTTGGCAGAGGCAAAGGCTGCTGCAGAGGAGCTTGAAAAGGGAAAGAAGGCCGCAGAAGAAGAAGCTGCGAAGCTGAAGCCTTCCGACGCTCCAAAGGCCCCGATCAAGTTCAAGGACGCCGTTGGCCGCAAGTTTAGCTTTCCGTGGGAACTATGCAAGACTTGGAAGGCATGTCCCACCAACAACGAGTTCAAGTCCAATGCTAACATTCTATCAGGGTATGGAAGAACTGATCAAACAAGCTTTCCTGCATGTCGATGTGATTGGTCCTCATGTGCATGAAGGCCACTACGACCTCGTCGGACCTGATGGCGAGATCATCCTGCCCCAGGTTTGGGAAACCATGATTCAACCCGACTGGGCCATCACCATGCACATGTGGCCAATGCCTGAGCCTCCACCACCTCCGCCCGAGCCGCCTAAGGAGGCATTTCCTCCGCCACCGCCCCCTCCACCGGATGCTCAAATGTTCATGTCAAGCCATCTTCCACTAAAGGGAAAGGGCAAGAGGGACAAGAGCCGGAAGCGAGAATCTCTGTCACATGCACACATTGTGCAACTCCCACCTCCTCCAGTCGGCTTGCCTGCGGGAGCAATGGCTCCTCCACCACCACCACCGCCACCTCCTGGGCATTCTGCTGGCGGTCCGCTACCACCCCCACCTGCAGTTGTTGTCATGCCTAGCGGTAGTGGCAGCTCTGGGAGTTCTTCCCGCAAGAAGCCCGCCCCATCACCGTTCTTCAGATGGGCTGCTGGTACCACCGCTCGCAAGGATTCTGTCAAGAAGAAGAAGTAAGATTGAAACACATAGAAACAAAGCAGTTGCAATTGCAGCGGTGGTATATTGCGATCGATCCCACGGCACACCCTGTGTTGTGTTCCTCGTTCGCGCCTTGTTTGTCATCGTGTACATGCGCTTGGCTGGTCTTACGTCTCTTAGCCATTTCCTCCGTGCTTCCTTCGCTCAGCTATGCACATGCTGTGGCAGCGTCAGGAACAGCGTGTTTTTGCTTTGCAAATTATTGTATGTGGACTTGGGACTGTTTGTTTATGATTGTGCAGAAAAGCTCAGATATACCATGGTCGTTTAGCGTTGTACATTTCGTATTGCGTATCGCTTTGGCTTCTGGAATACGCCTTCTGCTTCGGCGTTGTGCTCAAGTTTGATTCGTCCTTTTGCAATCGCAAACGAACGCACGGACGACGGACTGGTGATTTTGATTATCGCGTGCTGGGACTGATGAAAGGTGACGAGAATATGAGAAATGGATCTATACAAACGAAAGCGCATGTTCTCGCTCCCATTGCACCGTGACCGGGAATATACGCTTGAAATAAGAGCAACATCACAACGTTGCCCAGATAGGCGTATTGAATAATGTCGAACTAATATATAGCCGCCCGGAAAGTCCACCAGATCGCTTTCAAAGCTGCTCTTCGCAACCCCGCTCATTCCGATCTCCTAGTTTTGGAAGAATTTCTAGCAACAGACGCAAAGGTATACATGGTCATGACACCAGAGCGGAGCTCCAGAATGTTCATAGCCATGAAGTCGGCTATGAACATGTTGGTTGTGATGGGGAAAGTCCTGGAGCACCAGATACAAGGAGTCAAGAAAGACAAGCCAGGACTTGCGGAGAGAAGGAGCAAGTGGGACCAGGACCGCAAAACGCAGAGTGGAGGAGAGAAGCAGAGGCCAGACAACCGAAGGCGATGACGAGAGGTTGGGATTTGGAACGGTGTAGCGTGGCGAAGGGCAGGACACGTGAAGACTGCAGGTGTCCACTAGCGGGGGTGTGAGGCAACGCAGGCTGTTCTATTTGCAGCATTCCAGAAGCATGTATCACGCATCTAGGTAGGTAGCATCGGCGACCAAATCTTGGAACCGACAGGTAGCCAGAAAAAGCTTGTTTGCTTAATTACTTCTGCCCGGTATTGTTTCTGCGGGGTACCTTACCGTACCAAGCTTCCGGAAGGCAGGCTCCGCCCCTGAGCTACCAGTCGTGCGCGACACTTCTACCACATTCCGGGCACACCTTTACGCTCGAGCAACATGTTTTTTCCCGATTCTGCGTCTCCACTCGTGTTTCTTGTCGCGAGAATCGTTTCTGCAGCTGCATCATGTAAAGGAGGCGCCTCCGTCCGTGACGTTCGGATGTGGAGCTGAATCTCCCTTGCACAACATGCAGAAAGCGACCCTGGCGCTGATCACTTCCTTTCTTGCCTACCGCGTGCGGCAAAGCAACAGTGTGATGTTATTTTTTGAGGCTGCTCAACAAACCGATGTCTGAGGCATAGCTTCTCGTCGCTAAGGACGCGAGCCAGCCACGGGGATGCGCACGCACGATGACAGCACGAACGCCCCTAGACCTACCGTGTTACCACAAAGGCATGGGCCAGTAGACGGGCATATAATCTGCAGAGGTCTGCACGTCGGAAACGGCACGCTCGTTCCATTTCGTCCTGCTCAATATGAAGTGGACTTCTTCTTTAACGCTTGGTGCTGCCGTCTTGGTCACCTTCTCCACAGCGCAGGATAACACGATCAACGACCGCCAGCCCACAGTGAGTGCACCGCATGAAAACCCGTGGAAGACCCTTTCCGAGGAGGAAGCTGCTAGTGTCAATGAACTTCTCCAAGAGCGAATGAGCTTGACTGGCAACCAAGGATCTAGCCGTGATAGTTACGTGTAAGTCGACCATTGCTAGACACCTCCCACTCGCCGGACACTAATGCGATATCAGAGTACAGCTCGCTCTTCTTCATCCCAACAAGACGGATACTCTTCCCTTCCTTGACAGCAATGCTACGGCTCCAAAGCGCTATGCGCGAGCTACTGTTCAAAGCGGTACCACCAACTCGACAGACAAGCACTGGCAAGAGTACATGGTGGGACCATTGCCAGCAACCAATGCGACTGCGGTCGAACCGTTGACTTTCCCGTTCCAAAACTCCCAACCAGGTCGAACACAAATGCATCCCATGTATTCACCCAGCGACGCGACGAGTTTCTTTACGAGGTTCGCGACAGAGACTGAGGATATCTCAATGCAATTGTTCAACACTGTGAGTGGAAGCCAGCCACAACATACAACAACAAAGGCTTACATGCATGCAGACTTTTCTTACTGGTAGCATTGGTCTTAGATTTGGAAGCCCGTTCTGGGATGAAGAGGGCCGAACCATCTCCTGGGCAGGAGCATTTGCGGACCCTGGCACCAATCTCAGCAGTGTTACCGTCGAGCCACTCGGATTCGCTGTGAAATTTGACTTGACCGGACCAATCTCGGATACCTGGAAAGCTGTCGGTTGGTACTCGTATGGCAAATTTTATGCCAGCACAGAAGAGTTCCGTGCCGCAATTAACGCTCCCGACTATGAGACGCCACCACCAAACGTACTGGGAAACTGGACGTCTACCGACAGGCAGGGAACGCCCATGCCTTTGGACAACCTACCGCCGCCGGCTTCTGTCGCTGAGGGCGACCAGCGATTCAAGATCGATACGGAAGAGGGATATATATCCTGGATGGACTTCACCCTCTATCATGCCGTCTCTCAGGACCTTGGCCTGTCGTTGTTTGACATCAAATACAAAGGCAGACGCATCATTTACGAGTTGTCCTTGCAGGAGGCTCTGACATCATACTCCGGCTCCGACCCTTTCCAATCACAAGCGACCTTCTTCGATACCACGAGTGGTATGGGATCGACCTTGCAGCCTCTTGTCAGAGGCTATGACTGCCCTAGTCATGCTACATACCTACCTGCAACATGGACAGAAGGCGACACGGTCAAGACACAAGCCGACGCTATATGTTTGTTCGAATTTGACGCGGGCTACCCAATCCGTCGCCATTCCTTTTCACCATCCGCGCCACACACTAGCGTAGCAAAGAACATCCAGTTTGTCATGCGCACGGTAGCCACAGTGGGCAACTACGACTTCCTCATCGACTACAGCTTCTTCTACGATGGCGGTATCGAGGTTTCTTCACGCTTTTCTGGATACATTGCCGCTGCTTACTGGGAGGATCAGCCTGAGTACGGCTTCCATATACACGACTTCCTTTCGGGTAGCTCGCACGACCACACCCTCACTTTCAAGGTCGATCTTGACATCAACGGCAGGAAGAACAGTGTACAAAAACTACAGTTTGTGCCGACTTCGACAGCGTATCCTTGGAGCCAGGGTCGCGTATACAATACATTCAAGGCTGAGCGATCTTGGGTAGCCGACGAGAGCGAGTCCATGATCAATTGGGCCGAGAACGATAACGTGTTGTACGCCATTGTCAATAGGGACACACCGAACCCGTATGGCGAGTACCCAGGTTACAGAATCAAAAGATCTGCCGGCACCATCCACCTTACACAAACAAACTCGACAAACACTGGCAAGACAGGTGCCTTTGTGACTCACGACTTCTATGTCACACAGCAAAAGGACACTGAGCCAAGGGCTGCGGATACCAATAACCAGTTCTCCAAGGACGATCCGCTTGTCAATTTTGAGACTTTCTTTGACGACGAGAGTCTGGATCAAGAAGATTTGTTCGTAAACCCACCTCCTTTCTCCATCTATTGTTGATACTGCGCCCCGTAATATATCAATTACTAACAGAACACAGAGTGCTTTGGTTCAACCTCGGCATGCACCATCTTCCGCACACCGGCGACTTGCCCAATACTATGTTCAGCTCTGCTCATTCGGCCATGAGGTTCGAACCGCTCAATTACCTTGTAGGCGATCCCTCTGTCTCGAGCAACCAGCAGGTCAGGATTGAATACGATGCAGAAGGTGCTGTCCTGAATGTGGATGAGTTCGGCAAAATGGCTGCCAACAAGACCTGCATTTGATTTACTTCTACATGGATGTCTACATACTGTTGATCGCGCAACATTCCGTCATTACTGTTCATGGTTCTCATTATTCAAAAGTTCTACTACAAGCTGATACCCGCTCTGAAGTGCTTCCGTCATGGTTCCAAGCTGTGATAAACGTGATGAAAGGTGGCTTTTTGTAATTATCTAGCTCTCGCCCTAACTCCCAATCAGATCATGACTGCTTCAAATATGAGGGGTACATCTTTCATCGGAACGCCTTCTCGTATACGTACATGCGAGAACAACTTGATGCGGGTAAAATGAAATGTGCCGCCCACAGGATCCAGGCCCTCGCCTTCCAACCCTTCGCCCTCAACAATGAGTCGGACTCGCTTATAAGTCCTGCTACGATCACATGTAGGTTTCATTCCGCGGACGATGCCTTATTGCATTTCCCAACGTGTCATCGCTGAGTACATCATAGACCGATACGTAATACATGTGCAGCACCCGAATTGGATAAGCGCAAAGTCCGTGCGGACGACGTGTCATGCGCATCCGTGGTGCCCGCAATCAGGTGTTTTCGATCGAAGCCGTGCACACTTCTTCAATAACGAGGCAGTTTTGTAAACTTTGTGATTGTCGCTACTAGCATTACAAAGCGATGTTCGTCTCAATTAGATTTCGTGAAGCTTTACAACAACTAGTATGCCCTGTCTGTGCTTGACAAGACGACTACATTCACTTTGGAGCCTTTCTCATCGCACACTTCTTGTTCCAAATATTAATCTTCAACAGTCCGTCTGCTTGGAAGGTCGGACTTCCGGATATCTGTGCATAAAACCACGGTACAGTGCAATGCGCCCTGTACTTTCTATCTGCCCATTGCAATCTTCAGGACACACTCAGCGGCTTGACGTACTGTTTCCAGATGTCTAAGAACGCCATCCTGTCCTTCCTGCTCTGGAACTTGATCTCTAACGCCGAATACCCAAACCGATTCAGATTAGCAGCCCTCGAGAAACCACCACCACCTCCCGATATATCTTTCAAAGGAATCGGCGAGCCGCTCAACGACCCTGAAGTAACGCTGTCTGATCGAGAAAACCGTAGCATTTCCATAGAGTCGTTGCGTTTCTTGCGAGACGGATTCGCTGCTTCGGAATCCGTCTGTGTGGATGACTTGCGGCGTTTGAAAAGCTTATCAGTCGCCCAACGCGGTGCGTCTTTTGAGAAGAGAAGCGTAAGCTTGTCACTGTCTTTCTTATAGACCGACTCCGTGAGCCATTCGAATGCGTAGTGCGGCTCCTCGACCCAGTGCCCGTCCTCTTCCAATGCGCTCGTGTAAAACAGCAGGATCAAGACCTCAGACGTAACGAGCCCACCATCCGCTAGATGCGTCTCGGTACGCCGCCACAGCCGCAAATTTCTTCCACGACATTCAGTCGGATTGTGATCCGAGGATATGCTCAATATGGGTCGATCAAATTCGAGATTAGCAGAGTCGGCACCGTTGTTGGTGTACAACAAGGTCTGGAATCTGTTTGCTGATTCGTGGCCAATGAACGTGTACTTAATGTCAACATACTGCTTGTTGAGTTTCCCGAACGAGCTGCGCGGAAAATCGACAGATACTGCACCGTCAACATACGTGGTAGTCAAGGGTATCGCTGGCCCGGTAGCAGGAAAGTGCTGTTCAGTCCATGTTCGAAGCTTCCCGTCTTGGCTAGAGTGATAGACTGTTCGCAGCGAGATGCCAGTATCTTCTCGATATCGCCACCGAACCTCGCACTCGTGATTTTCGGATCCGTACTTCAGAGACTTTCGTTCGACCTGAACGTTGCGACATATTCGCTTCCAGTCGAGTGCAGCGTCTCCTAATGCCATGGTTGCCAAGGATGTGCGCGAGAGACTGCGCCGCAAAGTGGGAGATAAGGGCTTCTCTGAGGCAGTACCCGTTGACGACGGTGATGCGGGCGAAGAGTTTTCGCTACAGGCAACTGTGGAACTAAAAGGTATCCTATTAGGCTCAAGCGATGTCGGTCTAGGCGACTGCGACCAATCGACTGATCCAAAGTAATCTGGAGACGATGGCTGTAGACCCAAGGTCGGGCGGCTGCTGCCCATGGAGTCACTCAAGCTTTCTTGGCCAAACATGGTGAAGTTCCCGGAGTGATCTGTCTCGAGGGTGTAGGTTCGCAATGGAGCTGGTGGCATGTTGCGGACCTGCTGCTTCATCGCGTCGCTTGGGACCAAGTGTGAGCGTTTCTCCGCCGTAGCTCGCTTTGCGCGATTCTCCTCGATGAAAATGGCGTCATCAACCTGCCGTCTCAGATGATATAGTACAGCAGCTGTCTGAACATCACCAGTAGAATACGTAGCAGGTGTGTCTCCCAGAGAAAGAGGCCGCGATAGTCCCGCTTCTTGAGCAACACGTTCGTCCTCACTTTGCAGCCATCGATCAAAGATTTTCCATTCGCTGAACAACGGGTGTTCGTCGGAAGACGCGAGTGCCAGTGGTGCGCGGTTGCTTGGGGCACCAAGAGTGTTTGTGGAGTAAGAGCGGCCGCCGAGGTTTACTGTACGAGACGGCGCAGCGTCGAGAAGACGCTGAGTCTGCTTGGTTGCCTCGAGATGTAGCCGCCTAACGACGGTCAGCGACTGTTGTTTCGAGTACGAAAGAGGCTTACAATTGCAGAAAGGAAATGCACATGTTCAGCGCTTGGTAATGGCCGCTGATCTGTTTCCTCAGCCCATCGATCTCCTTTTCCATCCCGATGTATCTGATCGTGAAGATGAACTTCTTGACGGTCATCTTCTTATCGACGAGATGTTCAGCGTATGGCTCCAGGGTCTTTTCACACTTCTTCAGCGTGTCTTCGAAATCCTGGACAGGGAATGCTGCGCGTTGTTATCTCGCGTCAGTGCATGCCGCAAATGTAGTACACAGATGAACGTGCTCACGTAGCGGCTGGCCATATTGTCTCATTAGCTCGCCCAGCTCTTTGAGACAGCCATGAAATGTGGTGAATTCCTTAACAAGCCCACTGACTTGCGCTTCCGAATTTTCGTTGGCATCTAGTGGCAATGATGAGCGAGGTGGTCCCTGATGATTGCCATCAGAGGGGGGTAGCTGGCGCCATACCTTTGAACGCAAGATATACACGGGTCGAAATCTCCAACAATTTCAGAACATCGGACGGACTGCACCCAAAGGACATATTCGTAGGGTTGCGCCGCGCTCAAGCGCAACAGAGTTTGTGTAAAGACTGCTCATACGTTATAGAACTGTTGGTGCACAGTAGGGACAATCATCGTCCAAGCATCAGGCTTCCATGAAAAGGACAAGCAGGTGTAGTAAGAACCACCTGAGCTTACGGTCGTCTCTTCGTCACGCGTCCGATAGAGCTAGCCTAAGGTAGACCGCTCCGGCATCTGGGGGGTGGCTCACGGCGCTGCTGACATCCTGCTACCGCTCAGGCACGCAAACTCGTCGAAGCCTTCTACTGTCGGCAGCAATCAGGGCAGCCCAGGGCAGCCATGAGCTTATCCAAAGGTGGCGGACAGCTCGTGTTTGTGCATGTGGCGGTATTAGAATGGTACGCCTAATTCGGCATAGTAGCTTTTGGCGTTCAATGAGGTTGCGAAGATCAACACGTGGGGGAGCGAACGGCCATGGTCGACTACCAGACGGGCCAGCCAACTCCAGGGCTCGATTCAGCCACGCGTGGCTTTCCCTTGGAATCTCGGAACATGTTTTGATGCAGCCTGCACGAACTCACAAGGAACCGGATTTCATAAAGCAAGATGCTGTTGCCCACTCATCGCAGCGTTCGCAGCTGAACGACCTCGGAAGCATCGCAAACCGGAGGAGCCGGAGAATGCACCATGATTTAGACATCAGCAGCAACCACACATTCCAAAGGACTCCAGTGATGAAGGCCTGGACGCTTGGATCGCGGCAATGAACGCCACCAAGCCTGACTTCGGCGAACCAAACGAGATTGGATGCGCTGATTGAGAACGCACGAATAGCGCCAGTTCGCATGCGTCCTCTTCTGTTGACCGGTTTGCCTTGTGGTATCGGGCTATGCACGCTGTCTGAAATCTGCCTTCGGTAGTCCGTGTCATGGTGGAGGCTGAAGCTTTGCGCATTCACAATATGAAAGATGCTGCCCCAAGGCGGTTCTGCACGACAGACCCCGTTACATACTGACTATTGCCGAAACCCTCGCACGTAGGTACAACTACCATACTGTTACAGTTCTGTCACCCCTATCGCTACAATGGGCCTCCGTAAATGGATCATGCGTCCAATGAGAGGCCATCAAGTTGGGGTGCCGGACATAACAACAGGCGGGAGCGGTATACCGGTAGGTTTCCCTCTGCCACTCGTAGTAGTCCTAGGATCGATCTTCTCTCGCTAATCCGATGGACAGGAGATAAGGCGTCGACGGTGGACTCTCGCGACGATTGATTCAGCGCCCTTCCAAGTCTGGGTAGTAGTAGTAGCTGGGATCGGCTTCCTAACAGATTCGTTCGGCCTTTTTGCTTTGAATGTCGTTACCCCCATGCTCGGTTATGTCTACTGGCCTAATCGCAACGAAGGCGGTATACCCTCGGTGCCGTCCTCTGTCAAGACAGCCATGATGTGTTCCACACTAGCGGGTACAATGGTCGGCCAGATAGGATTCGGCTTCGCGGCAGACATATTGGGCCGACGAAAAATGTATGGTCTTGAGCTGGTAATCGTCATCGTTGGCACAATGCTGCTGCTCATGAGTTCGAACGGGGAGAAGAACAGCATGGCAATTGGAGGATGGCTGATCACCTGGCGAGCGATCATGGGTAAGAAGCGAATTGATGTACGAATGCATCGTAAGACTGACGATAACTAGGGATCGGTATCGGGGCGGACTACCCTTTGAGTGCTGTAGGTATTGTTTCCAACGTGACCGTGCTGATGCTAATCGTGGGTTCAGGTCATTACTGCCGAGTTCGCACCTCGCAAACATCGTGCGCGAATGTTGAGCTGGGTTTTCTTCGCCCAACCTGTTGGACAGCTGCTCGCCAATGTTCTATCACTTGCTGCAGTGGAGTCGTACAAGCCATGGATCAAGGAGGCCACGCAGTCTTGTCAGCCTGCCGACTTGGAGTGCTTCCGAGCTATCGATCGACTTTGGAGGCTCGTAGTTGGGATCGGCATTGTGCCGGCTCTCATCGCTCTGCTGTTTCGATTCACGATACCAGAGAGTCCGAGGTATACGCTGGACATCTTGCAAAACACAAAAAGCACCCTCGAAGATACGGCGAACTACTTTGGTGCGCCCGGAACAGACCCCGAACATGGCGAGAGGGAACTGCTAGATCTGGCTGCAACACAGGAAGTTTCGAGGCCTGTATCGAGGCAATCGACCAACGCTTCGGTGATTGCACCCGACGAGGAGATTGAGAGCGACAGTGACTCCGGACACCGACTCAGTGACGTACATCTTCGTCCCGCCGCAGCGCCTCGCGGCCGGCTTCCTCCAGGCGACCCGGATTTTGTTCCTCCACTTGCCTCGTGGGCCGACGCAAAACAATTCTTTATAGCGGAGAAAAACTGGCAGTACCTTCTAGGAACGTCGTTGGCCTGGCTGTTTCTCGATTTCGCGTGTAGGTACACTGCCAGACCACTGCGGTAAAACCACTAACTTTGAGACAGTCTATGGGTTGGGCCTCTCTTCACCAGAAATTGTCAGCCACATCTGGCAGGGAAACAACAACAGCAGATCTTCCGTCTACCAGACGTTGAGTGATAATAGCAAACACACCCTGGTGATGGTTTCCATAGGGACAGTTGTCGGCGGCCTGCTAATGATCAAGATTGTCAAGCATGCTTCGCCAAAAGTGATTCAGTTCTGGGGGTTCTTGGTTCTATTCGTTCTCTTCATCGTAACCGGAAGTGCTTGGACCAACCTACTCGACAGCAGTCGCTCGGGACTCATTGTGCTTTACGTGCTCAGCCACATCGCCTTCAACCTGGGACCGAATGTGACGACTTTTAGTAAGTGATATCCGTGTGCGACCTGTTGTGAAACATCTACTAATTTCGTGCATCAAGTTATCCCTGCCGAGATATTCCCTACGAGGTACCGGTGCACCTGCCACGGCATAGCTGCGGCTAGTGGCAAACTCGGGTGAGGACAAACCGCGGAAGAACTGCATATGAGACATTTACTGACTTCGAAAACTCGCACCATAGGTCTTGGGTGGTGCAAGTCTTTCTGGCATATGCATTCCAATCCGACAAATCCGAACCCACAAGCGATTTTGAATGGGAACGCAAGAATTTCGGACATATCCTGCAAGTAATGAGCGCTTTCATGCTAGCAGGTGCCGTAACAACATATTTCTTGGTCCCGGAAACAAGAGACCACGATAACAAGAGTCGGACACTGGAGGTTTTGGCGTGTGGCAAGAAGGTTATCGATGAGCTGAACCGCCAGCGGAAGAAGGAAGATGAAGACGACTGAGATGGATTGTACCAGAATGAACTTGATGAAGTTAGGGAAGATACGGTAGTCGGTTGCAGATGATGAAGCAATGGACAAGCGTAGTAGCGTAGTCGGCTGAATGTTGATGATGCGGTACCCAGCCACCCGGCCCCACATCCCTCCAGGGCTGGTCAATGACGCAGGAGGCACGTTTGGCGCTAATTTCGTCCGGAGCTACGCAGCTTCTTCTGACCCTCACGTGCTGCTATCTTGAGTACCCACCATTGCGAAGCCTGGGCCCCGAAGACGATGGTGTGCTTCCTTCCATCAGATTCCATCGGAGGATGCTAGGAAAATGACACGGACATGTCTCCTTCTCTCAGTCAGGACGTTACGGGACCGTCCGGGAGGGGGATATAAGAGAAGAGGCTTGATGGGCAATGTCCGAGATGTTGCATAATGAATGATAGTAGAACAAAAAGATGACTTGAGGGAACCGATAGCTGCCTGCCCCTGTCGTACAGCTCTTCAAAGCGCCTTCGCGTCTATTGCCAAAGCAAGGTGATTTTCTTCCACCATGGCCCTTTCATATTCATTGTTCGCGCCGGCACCTCCTCAGCAAGCACCTGATCCAGACCCGTCTTCAGATCTACCTCTGCTGGATCATAAGCCCGCCTATCGCTCCAGGCCCAGATGCGATGCCCCCCATAGAACAGGAAGAACATGGGAATACCCACGTACGCAGTAAAGAAAGAGCTAACGTCCCACTTCTCAGGCCAGAAGACATCGAACCCGTTGACCAAACAGAGAATTGTAAAGCTGATGATGACGCACCAAGCACCCCACTTGTTCACCGGTGAGCGATATGGAAGATCCGTGATGTTTTGCGTTTCGCAGGCTTTCCGGAAGCGCAGAAAGATGATGCCGCAGCAGATCCAGGAGATGAATCCAGACGTGTTTGTTAAATTCACGAACCAGTTAAAGACGACCGCACTCTCGCTGCCTACGTTTAGGTATGCCAGAACGCAGAACAACGAAGAGGCAGTAACAGCCCAATACGGTACACCGGACTTGGTGCATGCTTTGAAGACGGAAGGTGCGTTGCCAGACAGGGCGAGCGCGTATAGCGAGCGCGAGGACAAAAATAGGAAGGAGTTTCCGGACGACCATGCACTGATGATGATACCTGCGTTGATGATGCTGTCCAGCACGGGGATGCCAGCGTTCTTAATTCCCGCAACAAAGGGCGACGAGCCAGCTCCAGAACCACCAGACGTAATGATGGGGTCGTCGGAGGGGCAAATGATTCCGATAGCCAGTACGCTGCCAACATAGAAGAAGAGTAGGCGGTATATGTATCTGCGTGCCGCAGTAGGCAAGTTGCGACGCGGTGACTGCATCTCGCCACCTGTTGCAACGAGAAGCTCGGGAGCAAACGTGAAGGGGAACTAGACATGAGGGTCAGACAAGTAGATATAAGGCTTCGCCGGAAGCATGCTTACAGCAGAGAGTACCATAGTGGATAAGAGGGCCACAAATCGCCCAGCATTTCCTTCTTCTAGATACGTATTCGCCGCGCCAGGGTTCTTCCAGTACCGGAAGCCGAGTCGGTCATGCTGTGGACCGCCGCCTTTAAGATAAATGTATAAAGTCAGTGGTTGTATCATACGCAGTTTGTGCAGGGGTATTACTAACCCCAAAACAAAACAAATGACAGAATCAGGAGCCCTAAAATCATGATAACCTTTGTTCCGGCAAACCAGAACTCTGTCTCGCCGTAGAACCTGACTGGAAAGCAGTTCAGTCCAACGATGACAATGATCATGACTGTGATCCACACTGCGATGTTCACGGGCGGGTTCCAATACTCAATGACCAACCCGGCTGCCGTGATTTCGTAAGGCACAAGGATACCGAGCGAGTAGAAGTATAGCCAACCCAGGCCGAACCCCATAGAGCGCGACACATAGCGGTAACCGAAAAGGTTCTGAAGGTACAAGGTCAGTCGTGTGTCACATGCCTTGGGTACGGCCACAAGTTACCATGGAAGACCCCGGGGTCGGCAGATAGGCCGCGACTTCAATGATACCCGCAACGGTACAAAAGATCAAGAACGACATGGCGATGTACGTGGACAGGATGAAGGCCGGGCCGCCACGAGCGAGGGTTTGGCCTGAGCCGACAAAGAGCCCAGTACCTATTGTGCCACCCAACGCAATCATTTGAGCATGTCTACGTTCCGTCAGTCTTTGAGGATATAGGGTATCAAGAGGGGTCTACTGACCGTGACTTCAGACCACGCTGGGTAGTCTCATAACGCTCGTCGAATATCTCTCCCGCAATAATCTCTGGATCGACCGCGGAGCTTTTCCTGCGACTCGCCGTATGCGACTTGCGAACATGGCCAATGCCATAGTCCACGCTCTGTTCTTCGATAGCCGAGTCTTCTGCCTTCTTCTCGGACATGACTGCTTTTGGGACTCTGACGGTAAACAATCAGTCAAGAAGTAGAAAAGGGAGTTGAATTGTAGATAAGAGTCTTGCATGCAGTCGGATCAAGTAAACCCGGTCAGCATGCTAGCCGTGTAACCAAGGAATGCTTGTCCAGCTGCGATACGTAGTCCCACGCGGATTCACCAAGCCGGACATGATAACCCCAGATGAACGCTGATATGGCTTTCTCCATACGCTCACGTCAAGCCGCGGACGATGGTCCGGTGGAACGAGTCGAGACTGGCAAGGATACGAACCAGGGCTGAAGATAGGCGCCGATAAGGACAACGGCAAGAGAGTACAAGAGCTGATAAGCTTCTTCAGTGTTCATAGACGAGCTAGGCTACTTGTAGAGATGTTCGATTCCATCTGCACATCCATGGGTGCAGCATGGAACTGCGCAGCTGCGTAGAAGTGCTTGTGTGCAGGTGGTCTCGGAAGGCACGACAAACACGCTCGCACATAGAACATGCCCAGGTGTGCTTGGCGAGCCTTACATCTTGGTATCGAATCAGGAATTGGAGTACGAGATATAGGCCTACAAGAAGTAGTGATGCACCAGGGATGCCCACTAACACGGCGTGTTGTTATCGCAATCGTCCGAACAGCGCCGTCCAAGCCTGTTTCGGCTAGCAATCCATCTAGCTGAGAGAGGCAGCTACGGTTGTCATCATTCCGCCATACATGTTCCAAGCGTAGGCAACACGCTTAAGTTTCGGAATATGAGTGATGTAGAGCAGCTGTCGTAAACGCGACCAGCAAGATTAGCGCACTTTCCGCCAAGGGCTTTTCGCATGTGGAGTAGACGGGCCAAGGTACGATGGCTATTGAGCACCATGCCAAGAAGGTGTTACTGCATGGATATGGGAGTTGCTACAAGAGTTCTACCTAGCTACATCTCGAGTCCACGGGTGGTGTTCTAGGTGTCGGGATAGACAGGCGTGTCGGAGACTCTGTGACCGATGCAACCCGAGTGTCTTTGGTGTATTCCTGCAAGAGTATGACTTGTTTCACGACACAACTTGATGGTTTGTGACTACAATAAACATCTCACGTTACTGTCTGGCATCAACTGACAACCTCCTGGCCTCACCATGTCAATTCCTTCTGCGGTCTCTTGACCATGTCTGGAGGTACACAACCCCACGAGCATACGCTAACTCTCAGTGGAAGAAAGTCACCTGAGCCCCGACTCCAGAATTCAACCCACTCGGCGCGTGCCACAACGTAATGCTTGCGACAGGCATGGCACTCGCGGAAGAGACCGTATCCGTCGGCAGCGTTCGCTTCTGCTCGCGAGAGAATGGCTTCCACCATGGGGAGAGCACACGGGCTGAGGTAGTCGCGTATTTTGTGGGGCTCCAAAGAGTGAAGTGCCATATGCAGGGTCGTTGTGAAGAGGGAGGAAACTTTGCTTGTGCACGGAGGGACGAACCACGGTGAGGAAGGTAGGCCGTATGTACCCTGATTCGTCTCGATGATGACCGGGTAGTGTTCCTGGTCGGAAGTAGGGAGCTTTGGAGAGCCCTTGAGAAGCTTGCCATCCTGCCCATAGTAAGAAACCAGAGTCCGAGCAATGTACCGTGGCGCGTGGGCAACGGCATCGCCCTCTACTAAAGCCTCTAGGCGCAACGACGGGTGGTGCGAATAGAAGCCAACATCTTCAGCGGCGCACTCTCGGGCGTCGTCTGCACCGCCAAAAGAGTTGGCCCAGG